CTAAAATTTTGCAAATAAAAAATCCTTTGAAATACACAGCATCTTTATTGAAAAACTTTACATTAAATAATTGCACGAAAATATAGTTTTATAAAAATTTTATGAAACCAAAGACTCTTGTGTTCTATGATATTTCAAATTTTTATTCAATCCATTATCACAATTTAAACGATTATAAATTGGCGAGTCCAATTTTTCTTTAAAAATATTTCTATAGCACTGTTTGAGGATTTGAGACTCGTGATGGGAATAGAGTCGAGAGGATGAAGCAAAGTCACGCTGAAGAAAGAAGAAAAAAAAAGAAATAGGTCTTCCCCTTATTCGATATAACAAGGATATATTTCTAGATGCGATCGGATGTAGTCACTGCTGCGACCAAAAAGACTCTGTCGAAACTTTCGACAGGGTCTCTGTAAATATACGCGACACGATGTCAACACGTGAGTTAGAGAGGGTTTTCCTCTCTCTCTCTCTCTCTCTCTCTCTCTCTCTCTCTCTCTCTCTCTCTCTTTCTCTCGTTTAGATGTAACCGGCGATTAATCGGACTGTAGATAAAATACAGGTCAAACAAGTTCGTGCATCGCTCGATCGACACGGCGAACACGGAAAAAGGAGATAACATCGGGGTGCGAATGTGCCGGAACTGCGAGATGAGTTCTCTGTGCCGACATCCTGCATGCTGCAGAGTTCGTGTAGATCTCGTCGTGGCTATTGAATTTAACTGTTCAACAGACCTTGCAAAAAGCCGAAGCAAGAGGCAAACAAATCTGTAGATCGAAATAGACTGATCGAAGAATAACACGTCTTGTTTTTTTAACGCTATTTATCGGAAAACTGTTTTGCATCAGCTGTTTTATGAGAGACGTTTTTATCGTGCAGAAGAAACACGAAATTTACGCGATGCACGAACTTTCGATTCGACATTAAGAGTTCTCGCAAATTAATGTTCGTATTTTTGCCGCTTAGAGTTGAAGTACATGGAATAAATATGTATTTCAAGATATAAGTTATTCCTTTTACTTCGTACGTGCGAACGTTAATAATTGAAACACATTAGCATAAAAATTAAAAAGATTTTACATTTTATTTTCAACAAATGTCGTATAATCTCTTTACTTTATATATTACATCTTCTCTTTATATTATATTCATATTAATAGCAAAGAATCTACTTATAGATATATATAGACAGCAAAAAAGTTCATGAGCTTTTCTATAATTGAGCGGTCCGAAATGCGATAACGTGGGCTAATTGATCCTGACGAGCTCTATGGAGCTTCTATGAATTACTCTGTATATATACATAATTTCTTGTTTCTAACATTCGCTGTTGTTCAAAAATAAATCGTTGTGTGCTGTTATTGTTGCTGTTGATAATTGCAAATGTATCGATATAAAATACAGAGGATCGACAAAATATCGATATAAAATACAGAGGATCGAAGTTTTGTCAAAGAAAATTAAATTTAATCGAGATTCGCGCGCGCTCAGGCTCCTGACCCCCGTTTCGCTGGAGACCGTTTGCGGCCCCATTTCGTCTTCCACAATACTTTTTTATCTTTCCATGAGCATCTGTCGCGACCAGGATACTGGACAGGCTAAATGTGCGCTCGACTATCGCAAATTGGCGTGGCTTAATTCGGTCGGTGCACTTTTACGATTAGATGAGCCGACGTATACTGTAGTCCGAACGCAGAGCGGAGGGCACGACAATAAATACGGTATAGTGAAGTCTCGTCAGATCGGACTTTCATTTAGCTTAAAAGCTCGCTAGAAAATGCCGGCAGTTTAATATTGCTTTCCCGTTATTCTTTCAGGAAATATCCCATTGTGAGATTTATCGCAAGATTCGTCATATTGATTTAATTGCGCTTAAATATGCGGTTGTTATCATCAATTATTCAACTGAAATTCGCATGCGTTAAATAAATTAATGTAATGAAAACGCCGACACGTTGTATTATTAGATGTACAAAATATATTTTTTTAACGTTCATTTGCATTAATGCCTTTATTGTAAAATTCAAAGGATCGATCCTGTATTGTAAATAATATATTATTGCATTTACATATATTATACACTTAATGATAATACATATTGCAATAATGCAAGGCACTTTACAAAAATCCGGCGAGTTTTTAAGCACATCACAGACTTGCTTGACGCACTTCATATTAATAACATAAAATATGCAAGGTATATAAAAAATACATCGTGCACATATATTTCCGTAGTTATAGCGTACTCGATGAAGTGAAAAATTTGGTTGAACTAAATTTGAAATTAATTGAAGAATATGATACTTCATTACTTCATTCACATTATTTATTTTCGTCCTTAAATTTTGGTTTATGAAATTACTAGAAAAAAGTATTAGAGCAAACAACATTTTTTTTCATTTATTATAAGTGTAATAAAAAAAACGTACATTTTTATATACTCTGTGTATGCAATATATACATAATGTACATTTTTTCATATACGTAATATATAAAGTCCCATTAAGCAAAATCCATTGGATATCCTTTTATTATAAGATACGCTGTTACAAGAACGCAGCAAAAATTCATCGGCGTTAAGTATAAAAATAAACAAAAATACATATACACAGCAACGAGACATATGAATCATATAGGACCACGTTTAAAAAATGTATGTACATACTCTCGTATTACATATTGATGAATACATATATGTAAATAACACAGAAGCTGTGTATGGACGTTCGGATTTTCGAGGTAAGCGTTTAGGATTCGTTCGATTCGATGTATCCTCGAACGAGACTAGATTTTGTAATAATATGATATATATATTATATATAGAAAGCGGGTTCGTAAGGCGGGTGTAACATAATGAAAAAAAAATCGTACGCACGATACGTGTATTCACGTACAGTTACTTATACATACTTTAGATGTAAGTAAGTGTGAATTTTGCTCGTTCGTTAGAAGTTCAGACAACGAAAGTCCGAGCGGATGCTTTCAACGAGCTGCTAAATTTTTGGGAAACGTCAACAATTTTGCAGGGAAGAGATCGGCAATCAGAGAGTCTCATCTCTTGAATATAAATTTACTTATTAAATATTCGAGAAGCGTATATATAATTTTTCAAAAAGTTTATTATTATATAATTCTAAATTTAAGCTTTCTACCACAAGAAAATGTTTAAAATTACAAAAATTTTATATTTTTAAGACTGCAGTCACAAAGACTATATCTTTTAATTCATACTTAGTTAAATTTTGCTTAGCTTTATTTAAATGTTTTTTATACTTTACGTCTGTTAAACTTTCTCTGCATTTAACATAGTTTATATCTATAACATTTTATATGTTTACATATACTTATTATATGTTTATTATATATATATATATATTGATTACATGTTTTATATATTTACAGTTTTTCTTTATCCTTGTTTCCACAGCTTTTTTAGATAAAATTTTTTCATATATTATATGTATAAAATTCTCTTTTATATGAAATAGTTGACACATGACAAAGAATTGCCGATCTTTGCCTCCATATCCATCACAGCAGTCAGATTGTTAATCATTAATGAATTCTACGAGTGAATTGGGGGAGTCGCGAAGGCCTAAGGCTACGAATACGCAAAATTTGAAATGAAGCTATCATACCTCCATATTAAATTTTTTAACAGAAAAAGCGAATATCAATCGCAAATGTTTTCGTTTGAAATTCTTGAGAAAACCGAAGGTCAAACTGTCTATCAGCGCAATCCGTCTCTGATTTTCGGCGAGCGAAGTACCTACAACACGATTGTTTGTAATTGTTAACGATGCGTTAGTTAAATAGAAGTCTATGAGCATTGATGGAAAATGATTTAAAAGCTTGTTTTTGGGGGGAATCAACATCTGAATGGTCAGTGTCCTTCAACGTCTATTTAATGTAACAACGATTGCAGTTGCACAATACGAAATTACAGCAACAATCCTGACGGGATTTGAACATGACCGAATTACAAGTTTGAATTACAAGTTTGAGGGTGCTTAAACTTTGGCCGGAGTTATGTAATTGAATGTCATGTAAAAATAATGCGATACTGAAGAGAAAGCGCACAATTTATAACGAAAATCAAAATTTACACATTGTACATTAATATGGTGAAAGGTATCGCAAAATGTAAACGTCAAACGCATATATAAATGTATCGTAAGGGAGGGAATGCTGTTTATGATTAAACGTGAATTGATTAATTAGTCACATAAATAATCACTTTCCATATTATTCACTTTTTGATACTTTACGAACAGCATTGCCGTACAGATATAGACTTCCTTAAAAAAACTTCTTTAAAAAAATCTTTCGATATCTGTTTACCCCGGAATCTATTTTCTTTTTTAAATTTAACGAAAGTTAAAAGTAGATACTTGACTAAATTTAATACCGATCTAGTATAATCGTTGAACGATGCTATGCTGCACGTTGCACGATTATATGCTGTGGCTTGTATTTCTGCGAAAATCAAGCCGTCATGAAATTTTTTAACAATTTGATTAGAGAATTTAGTCGAAGGAAGCTGCAACATTAAAGAAAAATTCAGTGCGATGAGTTCCAGGCAATGAAGCCATACACAGCAATAATAGTAAATAACTTGTGTCTGCATTGTTATCCGTAAATGCGACGTCGTTTACCTTTTGTAAATTAAAAACTGTGAATACATTGCCTTCAACGGAATAAAGAACAATGGGAGTAATAACTAGTATACAATTCGAAACAAGATTTACCGCGACTACCCATAGAACGAATCATAGGGAATGAGCATGATGTACGATACTATTAACTTCAGACAATAAAATGTTATTATCGATGTTACCTTATTATCTGTACTTGATATGTTTCTTCTACAGCACCTTTTACAGCATAAAGCTTAACAGATCAACTGTTAAATAAGTATAAATTCTATCGTACAGGATTTTTGAAAGGTAATTGATAACTAAGTATTACATATACAAGTATTATGCAAATAAATTTGTGCACATTCTTTTATTTCACTTTTTTAACATAAATATTATTTTGCATTTTCATTTTGTTTCGTCACGTTTGCCACACGTCTACGTTTAGTAGCCTTCGTTCGTTCCAAGCTTTGATTCTTCTCTTTTTCAAGAATCTCTGTCAATTTTGCAAGCTGACGCTCATAGTCAACCGCATTTGCAATGGCATGCAACTTCATTTGTTCAATGTTGGGCACGGCTTTATGTGCACCACTTAACATTTGCTTGAATATCCCGATCTGATTTGCTGTGAGTATGGACACCGCAGTTCCCGGTTTTCCAGCACGCCCGGTCCTACCAGCTCTATGTATGTAACCCTTAATGTGTTTCGGGAGATCGTAAGATACAACCAACTGCACATCCAGAATGTCCAAACCTCTAGCCAGCGCATCCGAACTTATTAATCTAAAAAAAATAATCAACATTAATTAAATTATTGAAGCTAAACAATTTTTTTCCTTTTTTGCTTTAGATATAAAATACAATTTATTTTATTATCTTATCCTCTTAGCATAATTAGAATAAAAAAATATTCATTTCAAGACAGAGACATTTTTTTTTGTAAAACTAGAATAATTTTACTTTGTTAAAGCACAAAACTTACACATGTATCTCTCCGTTTGCGAATTTGCCCAAGATACTCTCACGTTGCTTTGACGCGAGTTGGGCGGATAATTCTCCTACTGTGACATTCCGTTCTGACAAGAGTAACTGCATCAAAAGCGCCAGTCTATGTGCGTGTTGTCCGGAATTTGTGAAAACGAGAGTCTTAGGAATATCGTGTCTCGTCAACAACTGATATAGGACAATTGGTTTGTAGCTAGGGGAACATTCCACCGCGAGTTCCGTTAATTCTCCTGGACTCGTATAACGTCCGACAAAGTCACCTGCGACCTCATCTAAATTTATATCAGTATCTTTGTCGGTCACTACGGTTGTGAACAATTTTGGTTGGAAAAGACCTAGTCGACTCAATTTTTCAGGATCTTGCGACAAGGTTGCGCTAAATAATAGCTTTTGAGCTGGTATAATTTTGCTGTTCAAAAAATGATAAGTTAGAATAACTTCTCAAACATACACATAAGATAATCGCCGAAATAAAAATTATTCCTTATATACATATATTATAAAGAAATATATTGCCTATTATAATTTCTGTTAAACAATTCTATTAAAAAATTACCTTGAACGCATGTTTCCAAGTGTCAAAACAGGAGGCCGAGAATGAGGTTCAGGTAAATACTGTAGCCATTCTGTTGCGCGATCGGCTTCATCGATGACAAGAAATTTTAGGAAATCCAAGGAAAATCCAGGAGTCTTTAATATATGATCTAATAAGCGACCAGATGTCGCGATTACTATGTCCACTTTGGATAAGTATTTCCCCCTTTCAGCTTTAAAAATAATTTTATTAAATCATTATTTATATCAATTTAATTCAATGAGCATTAAATACATACTTTTTTTAATTATACTCTTTTGCTCTTGCTCAAATGAAGATGCACCCGAAAGTAAGCCCACCTTCAGATCTGTATGAGAAGTATAAGTGACCATTACTTTATGAATCTGTGCAGCTAGTTCTTGCACTGGCAAGACTACCAAGCAACGAATTTTTGGTACGAATCGTGTTTGTAATTCTTGTACAATTGGTAACACATAAGCCAGAGTTTTGCCTATAAAATTATATAAAATTACTTAAATACAAAATAATATTAAAGTATGTACTACTTTTAATCAGTAATTAATAATTGTATTATTATCATTGTTATTGAAAATACTTACCACTGCCTGTAGGAGCAGATACACAAGTATCTCTTGGCCACCATCCCAATTTCCTATCCAGGTTGCACTTTTGTAACCATTTTATTATACCAGATTGAACCGGAAATAATTTAACAATGCCATTGGCTCTTAAAACTTCTATCAATTTTGCCTCCAAAATTGATTCTAATTCTTCCAATGGAGGTCCACTATTTAAATCAGCAGATATAATTTCGGGGTGTGCCAACCAATCTGGTAACACTCTCTTCACTTCACGCTGCTTTTTTCGAGACTTTGCGCCTAATATTATAAAATTGTTCTGTGAGGGTATTTCCTTGTTTGTAGTATCTTTATCATCATTATTTTCTTCTGCTAAATTCTTATCTTTTTCTTCTAAATCTACATTATTGTCTGTTGCAACAGAATGAAGTTTGTTCTCAATATTTTTCTTCTTTTTCTTTTTCTTTGTTAATACTTTGGCTGTTTCTATTGTTTGTTCATCAATTTTCTCACTGCTAACAATTTCGTCCTCAATATGTAAGTCATTAGTTTTCTCTGCTTCAAGCAATTTTTTTTTTTTCTTTTTCTTAGGTTCCTCCAAATTGTTTTCATCCTCATTTAATGTGGATTTATTACTTGCTGCTGCCCTTTGTCTTTTACGCTCTTCTATTCTCTTCAGCAGTTCGGAAAAATGATTTGTTTTATTTTCAACCTCCTTGCTTTCATCTTCGTATCTGTATATAATACACATATTCTACATTAATTGTATATAATACACATATTTTACCACATAAATAGAATTAATGGATAATAATTTTCATACAAGATTATATCTCATGCAATATGATCGTTTGACAAGATTTATATTTCCTACCTGTTTATAACAAATAAGCTCATCTTTTTTCTAGATATAATTTATCACATATGCAATACAATATAACGTGAATAATAACAATAAAATCTTATAGTACAATTATATTTCAAAATTACTGGCATTTATTTTATATCGTTAACATACATTAACAATTTAATAATGACGTTTAATCAATAATTTTTATTTGTGTATTAATATCTTTGAAGTAGAAGTGTTCTTCAGTTAATAATTAATTACAATAAGCCGAGAAATCAATAATCGCGAATAAACTTATAGACACTCCAAGTTATTGCAAAGCTACACGTGAATTTTTTATAGGTTAGTTAGACGCAGTTAGAGATTAGGTTAGATAACGATCAGGACTGCATTGTGCTGCCATGTTTCGTGGCAAATAAAGACACTTTCTCACTCCATCAATAAAGTAGTAATATTACATAATTATATAATTGTAAATAATAATTAGCAACTGTATTAATTATATTGTTAATTATAATTGTACATTGTAAAAATATTCTTACGAATTTGCTTACTAATTATACGGTGGTGATAATAGTTCACATCTGCAGTATTGACCCAATTGATGTTAATTAACATCAATTAAAAATGACGTATAGTCAAATGAAATTCTAAGCATAGTTTTATTGCTATACGTTAGACTTATGACATCTCAAAGAAAGTCACTTATTTGAACAACTAAGAAAAACTTTATAGTCATTAACTTATTATTTTGCTTTAATCATTATTATAAAAGATATAAGATTATAAAAAAAATTAATCAATAAAAAGACATTTTCTTTTAATCGCAAATTATAACATTTTGCAAAACTCAATATACAGTTACTTAATCTCGATCGAGATCGATCTAAATGTAAAAATTCCCCAGTAGATAAACTGTGGTATAAACATGTAATTAATATTCAATGGCTTTCGTCGATTGGCTTGCAAGTTCAGTCTATCAAAAAAATTTCGTTATCGAGTTTGCAGGTCGGCGATAAATTGCATGCCAGGGCAGAAGTCGCGCGCATGCATTCGAATGAGTCTCGAATAAAAGATTATTCATTTATATCACGAGCAGAGACCCCTAGGTAGAACACTGTAATGTCGTAAGTCATAATTAAATCATAACGATCATCATTTGTCACTTAAAAATGAACTTATAGGACAAGTAAGGCTATGATGATATCTTTACGTAATATATTAATTATAGGAGCTTTCCAGCAGAGGCACAAATTGACACGAGAGTCATTCTTATCTTTGTTTCTTACCCAGATAGCACAGAATAATTATGATAAATATTTATTAATATTCATTTTTTGAAATATTATATAGA